CGCGTTTTTAAAACGAAAGTTGTTAACAATTTTTTACCTGGCTCATCTAATAAAGCGTCATAGAGTTCAATTGAATCGATTAATTGTTTTGTATTATTCTCAGTACCATTCATTGACGGTATTAAGGTAGATGCCACTCTTAATTCAAATTTTTCAGACATTTCGGAAATTAATATTTGATTTGAATCTATTTCTCCTAATCTACTTTCTAATGTTTTCTGAGCTAGACATTATTTATTATTTATTTCCTGGTAATATTCTAATATTTTACTATCTAAATCTTTATACTTAACAATATGCTTTAAAGAGTTAAAATCTTGTTTAAATTTATCTAGCTTAGCTAACTTGTTTGTAACAATATTTATATCCTTACGTCTACATTACTATCCTTAATTAAATTCTTGTAAAATACCTGTACTTCTTCATTTAATTTTTCACATAGTTTAATTACCATTTCTTTATTAATGACCAATATTTAGCTGCCATTCGTTATATTTAACTTTTCTTTAATTCCCATTTCTATTTTTGCATTCCATTCCAATAATAATATACCATATACCTAAAATATACCTAAAAGAAAGCTTAAATGTTTTCTTGGCTTGCCCTTATTGTTCTTATTTTCCTTTCCAACTTCTTCTTAAGTTTTTGATAAAAGTAAACTAGTATAAGACTTAGCACCGCTATTACAAAAATTCCTTCGCAAACATCCTTTACTGACCAATTTCCAATTTTACTACTTGTTTCGCTAGTTTGACCTCCACTGTTTCATGATTGTGCTATGATAATTTCTTCTTTTTGTTCCTTTGATTGATTACTTCCAGCCATTTTTCTTCATCTAACTAATTTCATTTTTATACAACTTCATTTTTTTTTTTTTTTTTAGCAGGATTGCCATGTAATGTTAGGACAGGTGCAAGAGAGAGGTCCGACACGCCCAACATAGGGCGCGGCCATTTTGATTCCTATGCCACAGTTTATAGCTAAAGAATCAGATCGCTCACTCTGCGTCGGCACTTTTTATCTCAATGTTCCAGTTTATACACTGCGCAACTCAGATAATACAATATATGACAACCGCCTGTAATAAAACAGCAGTCTTCTGCGTATCCTGAATTTGTATCCCTGGAGTGGATGTTATTTTGGAACTTTCAACTGGTCCGAGTGAGCTAACTGATTCTTTAGCAATAAACTGTGACTCCAAAAATAATATTTACTTACACTGACAGCAGCAAGCAAAATATCAGGTGCAGAGATTAGTATCTCCCTTATCTCTGATCAGGTGCGTTTAATCACCCGCTTCTGCTTTCGGAATTGTCGTTTCAGTCGTTCTAACCTGTCAGATTAAAACAAGAAAACCGACAATTCCGAAGCAGAAGCGGATGATTAAAACGCACCTATTAAAAATATTGCGCCAAGGTGTAGGCAACACGTAATAAGGGTTCTCCGTATAGTATGAGAAAATCAAAGTATGTGGTTACCACAAATTCATTTATAAAACATCATGTCAGACAAAAATTGAGGTTACAAATGCTTGATTATAATCATAACCACTGCCATGCGAGCAGTTTTAATAGATCGCATTGCTATTTCAAACAGTGTTTAACTCCTAACCGGTGATGAAAATATCCATTGTTGGCAGTTAAATTCAATCAATCGTTATAAATAGTTAATCAAGACTGAAAGTAACTGCCCTAAATATGTCAAGTATTTGGTAATTTTAAATAAGTAGTTCTGCAAATTTAAACAAGAAGATTTCTTAAAATCAAAATTTAACCATGCAAGTTACTAAAACTTTTACGAGTTTTACCTATTTTGTTTTTATACAGGATGTATCTAAAAGGTTTTAAGCAAAAATCTCGTAATAAAAATTTGTTGATAACTTTTTAGAGTATACGCTAATAACTTTTTATTTTCCAGAAAGAATTTTTTTTTTAATAATATTTTTGTATCTTTGTAATAATGATAACCTTATTTTGTCTACATATTGCAATTATATTGCAGAATGAGATCCAAATTTAATTTTTTGTTTATTTTTTAGCAACATGGCGGAAAGTTTGTGTTACTTTTACCGAATAAAATGGCTGAATCTTATTATGATCAAAAAGTAGTAATTAATACATATAAATATTACTTTCAGCACAAGAATGCCAACTCCGAGACTACGGAAACAACCACAAAGTCTGTGTTTGTAACTCAACTTACTGTGACTTTATACCGCCAATAACTAAAGTAGATCCTCCCAATTACTTAGTATACACTTCAAATAAAGCTGGCTTGAGATTTCGTAAAAGCCAGGGAAAATTTATTTCAATACAAAAAAAGGTAAAAAATGCTATACATGTTGGAGAAGGACAATATCAAGCAATTGAGGGTTTCGGTGGAGCTTTTACCGACGCCGTTGGAATTAACATTTTATCTTTGAAACGAGGTGCTCAACAAAATCTTTTAAGGTATACTTTATTTACTTTATGATGCTTCTTCTTTGTGATTTTTCAATTTTGCTAAATTATAATGATTTTAAACAAATTTTTCAAGTAACATTTTTTCTGATTTTAAAAATAAGGGTTCTTTACGTCTGAGGTAAATTCATATGTTTTTACATGATTCCTATTTTTTGCCTTCATTAATGAGCAAGCAGAATATCCAAATTGCGTTATTTTTAAATTCAGCGACCCAAAAAACCCCTATAACGTTTTTCGGTTCGTCTTTTTTGATTGTGTTAGGAAAATCCACGGAGATAAGGTCCGCGTCCAGGTTTTGGTGTACCAGGAATTCAGGGGGCCGTTTTCAACGTTAATTTTTGATTCAGCGCCCCAAAAAAACGCCCCCACAATGATTTTCGGGTTGTTTTTGGCGATTTTTCTCTCCTTCCCTGCATGAATTTCAGGAGAGTCCCACGGAGATGACGTTTTTTGGCGTTCCTGAGCTCCAGGTCAGCTGTGGGTCAACTTGAACATCATAATCGTGATCAGCGACCTCGAAAACCGTCAAGAACCCGATTTGGACCAGTTCTGACTCTTATTTACAAAATGCATTTTTGAATGCATTTTTGGGTGCAGCAATGCAATTTGCGGTTTGTATAAGATTAGATTAAAAACAGGTATTTGTTTTAAAATCATATCCTTTTTTGTGGAGATCTAAGAAGAAAGGTTCTTCGCTTATATTTTTATAAACTAGGTCCTTTTTCTGAAGAGCTTCTCAAAAAATTCTTTATTTGTTACTTTGGATTTAAAGACATGGCATTTGAGTAAAAAGCGTGTTGTATTTGAGTAAAACATGTGGCATTTAAGTAAAAAAAAGCGTGCCATTTTGGTGAAAAACGAGGCATTTTTAACCGACTTCAAAAAAGGAGGAGGTTCTCAATTCGTCGCTATATTTTTTTTTTATTTATATGTTCAGCGATAATTCTTTAACACAGTGTCCGATTTCAATATTTTTTTTTTGTTAGAAAGGTGCTACTACAGGGGTGGTCCCATATAAATTTGATCAAAATCTAATAATTGGGTCCATGAGAAAATCCTCAAACTCTTCATTTTTTAATGTATGTTTAGCGATAATTCTTTACCACCTTATCCGATTTATATGATTCTTTTTTTGTTAGTAAGGGGGTACCTCAGGTGTGGTCCCATATAAGTTTGGTTAAGATGTGGTGATGGCATCTGCAAGTTTTTAAAGTCGGTTTTTTTAAATTTTAAATTTTTAATACTTGTCATACTTTGGCTTGACACGTTAAAAAGCGGGACAATTACGCCTAAAGCGGGACGTCTAGCAACCCTAATATTGATCGTAAGATTTCTAATTTAAAGTCATTCAATATTTTTCGTTTATTCTATTACTTCCACATCACACATCACACAAGGTGAACATATTTTTTTGGCCTAAAACTGTCAAACTAGCCTTAAAATGACCAAAAATAAGTTTTGTGTGTATACCAGAACTCCGGAACGGTTTGAGATATCGTTTTCAAATTTATTTGACATAACAAAAAAAGCTCTAAAATAGATTTGAATATTTTTGGCGATAGAAAGTATTTTATACGATAAAACGTTGGGATAGTGTGGAACTATTGATTCAAGTTGTATCTCTGTTTAATGCTGACCCGCCCGCATATTCAGATGTAACGGTTGATATATCCAGTCGACTTATGCCGAATATCGCTTCATATGTGACGTGCACGACAGCACTCAATCGGATATCTAGACTGTTACATATCAAGCATTTTTGCTGTAACATCTTAACCACTATTGTTTTGGCGCGTAAGTCATTAGTTTACTATCTGAGGTTATAAAACATGCATTAATTCTTTCAATTCAGAGGCGCGCTAGGGGGGGTTCATGTTAAAAAATGGTATATAAATAAGTAAAAAATTATTTAAAAAAATAATGATATTTTGATATAAGGAAAGTTTGAGTCGATAATAAACAGTAAGTTGTTTATAAAAAAACTTAACTTATTATTTTTTTCAAAAATGCGAAATGCAGTGGCTTACTTAATGAAATTACAAATAAAAGCGCATCTTTTAGGAGTAACATGCCTATTAATATTTAAGTTACCGTATACTGTTTAAAATATTTGCAACAATACAGAGGATACCACATAATATTACAGGGAGAACATAGTACAGTGGCGTAGAATATTATTTAAAATGCAATAAGTAGTTCAGTGTTGGTTAAACCTAAAAGATGGTGATATTAATTTAGATTAATAAAAATGCAGTACAATTTTTACTTGAGAAGTCAACAATGGTTAAAAATAGTACACATAGAAAATGTTTGATTTTTGTTTCAGAAACTTGTAGAAGAGTTACAAACTATCAATAAAGTAACATGGTCAATAGAAAAGACAATTCAAAAGGAAAACGCAAGAAACAATCTGTTTAAGCGAATTTATTATTGTCACTTCAATACAAAACGAAGAAAAAATACCAAGGATTTAAAGAAAAGAAGCTCAAGAAACATCAATTGTCCAGCAAAATTTTAACTTTAAAGAAAATCATTCCTATGTCCAAGTCTAAAGCCAACAATTCATTGAATAAAGTCGACAAAGAATATCCTTGTTTATTAGAATTTCAGAATCACAATCATAGATCCGATGTGGGAGAAGCTCTACGTACCAGACCTTTGGGAGAAGATACAAAAAAGGCTATACTTGAGTTATTTCAAAGAGGGCATTCTGTAGCATTCGCTTATCACACGTATTGCACCACGAAAATGGAAGAATTGGGTGATGAGTATAGCGATAAAATAAGCGATCGTCATTATTTCCCGACAAAAACCGATGTGCGAACACTCTGGACTAGTAACTTCAGACAGCAATATGGCGAGCGCAGTGGTCCAGAAATCTTAAAGAAGTTGGAAGATGTGTTACTGTCGGAAAATGAAAAAATGGGACATTGTTCAAAGTATGTACTCTCAGCGAAAATCATTCCATTGCAATAAGTACCCCCATAATGCAAAGAGCTTTAAAATTACCTCAAGCGTCGGAAATCATATGTGTAGACGCAACAGGAAATTATGATGTTCAGGATCACAAAGTTTATTTTTTTGTCACACAGTCTCCTGTTGGAGGTTTACCGATTGGGTGTATTATAAGTAGTAATAAAAAAAAAGAAATATTTCAAGAAGCGGTACAAGCTCTGCTATATATATCTCCCGTTAAAATAAAACCATCTGTCATAATGACAGATGACGACTTAGTGGAAAGATACGTCCTACAGCAATGTTTCTCACGTTCGAAAATGCTCTTATGTACATTTCATGTCTTAAAAGCATGTTGGCGTTGGCTTACTACTGCAAAAAATGGAGTTCCGAAAACGCACAATCAACGTTATTACCAGTTATTCCGAAATATTTTATATTCAGACTGGAAAGATAAGCTTGATGCAGCAAAGAAATTATTAAATAAACAATGTCAACATCTTAACTTTCTTAAATATGTAGAGAACATGTATTTGCGAACTGAGACTTGGTGTTTGTTTTATAGACGTAATTTGTTATTGCGCGGTTCAGACAAATAATTATACGGAGGTAATGTTCCGATTACTGAAGGATATACCTTTAGAACGTACAAAGGCATTTAATCTTACTTAATTAGCTGATTTCATATGTACTGGATTTGAAAGATATTATCAACAACGAATTCTTGATATTGTCTTAAAACGTGAAAGTAAAGCAATTCAAGAGAGATATCTGCCAAAACAGTTAGTGGAAAATGCGAACCTAAAAGACATAGGAAATCATCAATATGAAGTTGTAAGTTTTTCTAAGCCTGATATCATTTATCACATAGATATGATAACATGCATGTGTAGTTGTCCAGTTGGATATAACGGGAAACACTGTAAACATCAGGCTGCAGTAATTTCAAAATTTCACATTTTAAAGACAATAAATACTCTAACCCTCGAAAATAAAATATTGTTTTATCAAATTGCTACCGGCAAAGAACCGAAAAAGACATTATTTTGTCCACTACAGTCACCTGGAACTATAGAGACCTCTTTTACACCAGAATTAATTAGTCCCAATGAAGTGGATCCTTCTACGATAGAACCAGAGCCACTGCAAGAAATTAACGTGGTAAAAAACTTGGCCTCGGATATTGAAGCAACAAAGACTGCATGGTTGGAATACAGTAATACAATTTTGCAGCATCTTAAAAATGATCCGGAACAATTCTTACCAGCTGTCAATCGACATTTGGATAATTTTAAAAAATATGCTATTTCTGTACCATCTTTAATATCAGGTCTGTACACATCATATAAGTATAAAGGATCAATCAAAATACAATCAGGCAACATATATCCTAAAATTGTAAGAAGAGGAGTAAAAATTAGCGTTCAGCCAACAGCCGTTTCCAGGCGAAAAATTAAAATGTGCGGCAAAAGAAAACTCGTAGGAAGACCTTCTTTTAGCAGCAAGAAAAGCAGTGTAAGAGCTCCGCATTCACTCAATTTATGTGTAGAGAACAATCGTGGTTTGGGATCCAACAAAGCCATAAAGTAAATCGCTTGTGCTCACTTATAAGTATTCCTTATATTCATATCTCATATAAATAAAGCATTATTATTAAATTTGGTATTTCGTTTTCTTCATATTATCGCACTTCGTATCCAAAATCCGAAATATCAGTTAAATTAAATCGAATAGAAAAAAACAATTTCGACACTAAGAAACTTTCTAAGTACCTACTTTCTGCTAAAATGTAATATCTTTTTGTTAATAAAACTATTAAAATTTACTTGATTGAATAAAATTTTACAATCTAAGACAATGTACCCTAACAATTCATATCGGGAAATGTTTAAAAAATGTCCTAATGCCAAAATTGATTTTTTATAATTCGATTGAACTTAACTGATACTTAACTTATTTGTTAATTGTATGTAAGTCACAACGTCTGACTAACTGCTATCGTGCACGTCACATATGAAGAAACGTTCGACATAGCCGAATGGACATCTTGCCTGTTACATCCGAATTTGCGACCCGCCCTGTATGATCCAATGTCTTGGTAACAAGCTCAAAAGAGCCATATAAACCCAATATGCCTTGCCTTTGTAGGCATTTCATGAAACCGAAATATTTTAATTTAAACAGGTTTGTGTTATACACAATTTGCTGAAATCCTACGGGCTCTTCATGAAAAGCCTTTGCAGATTGTGTAGCTTAATGATTTTACACAATATGGCGATGCTTTAAGATATGACTAGGCTCTTTTCGCAACTGGTGACAATGTAACCTTTGAATATAGTTTATTGAAAAAATACTAATAATTTTATGGGTTAAAATACCATATAATAATTATGTGTGTCTATTTATGAAACAGGGACACGTTGACGATTTCATCTACTTCTGAAATTAGTTTCAATCACTAACCCTTTCTATATATATTTTTTTATGAAATAAAACTGATGTTTTTTATTTTAGGTCTTATTTCAGTTCAGATGGTATTGAATATAATTTGGGTAGAGTACCAATTGGTTGCTCGGACTTTTCCACTCATGGATATAGCTACGATGACTCATCCTTTCCGGATCCCCAATTAAATGGTTTTAATTTAGTTCCTGAAGACATTGTATATAAGGTATGTAAAAAGTTATTGTTACCGTATTAATAATAATATTATAATGTATTCTTATACTGTTTTCAAGATATTAAACAGTGGGAAAATTTCAGGAATATGTCATCGCTAAAAAATTTGTAGAGATTTTCGGAGCTTACAGGGTATAGGGAAAAGATTCCAGTGGCAGGCAATTTTAATGTTTTACAGGTATTACGACACATGTGTATTTTAATTTAATACAAAACTTATTTTCAAATTTTTCAATTGAAATAAGGTCTGTTATTCTTGGTACCCAGGGACGATTTTTACATTGGTTCATTTGTGCAGTGAACACTCAGTTAAATTTCATAAAACGCATTATTTTAAAATTACTTAAATAACTTAAAAATATAAATTTAATTTTAATATACGAGTATTTATTATTCTCGTACGTGTTAATTTCTACTTTTTTGGCACCCCACTGCGCTTTTGCTGATCACTTTGTCCGTGCAATATGTTAAATAAACACGAGAGGTTTCCGCGAATGCCTGAAGTAAAAAAAAGATTAACAGATGCATGAAACAAATGGTTTGCCTGCTTGAAACAACGCTAGTCTTAGCATGACTTAGTGCATCGCATGTAGATTACGTCACGACAGATAACTTCGCTTTGTCCAACCATTGTGTTTAGATCACCTAGTAGAACAAGCTAATGGAAGTTTTATTCAAGATAATATCTCGCGCCATCTGTTGGAACAAGTACAGAACTTCACCAAAATTGGCCCGTGCGCTAGCGCTCCCTCGATTATTAAGTATAAAATTCGAAATATATAAAGTTTTCTTCATATTTAAAATCATTTGGGTAGATTGTGTTGGGCACTGCATTATTCTTCATCTTTACGACACCTTTCTGTAGATAACTGCACCAAAAGATTGTAAAGACTTTTCAACTTCTTTGCTTTTATTTCGTGATTTAAAGGCAATCTTGGAAAATTTACATTGTCAATCTTTTTTTATTTTTCTTGATCATCGTCATCTCTGGAAAACTTTTCTATTTTTACGGCTACAACTTATTTATTTATTTAAAACATTTATTCAACTATTAAAAATATTTACAAAATATACAACTCAACATAAAATAATGTGCACAACTCCAGATGTTGTTGTGCCGGCCTGCAGGTACCCGCTTGGCCAATGACAATAACTTCGCCTATAATATGTTATAGTCGTTTACTGTTATAGTTTTACCAAATATAGCAGCCCTTACTCATTGCCAGAAAGGTATTATTAAGGGATTTTGGGTATTATGGAATCGGGAATTGTCAGCGTTTAAAAGTTTGGTAGGTCTTAATTATTGTTATTGTTCCCTGAAAAAGCTAGTAAAAAACAGGGTTGTCATTGTTCGTGTGTGGTTCTGTCACATACTTTGATTTTCTTTTACTATACGGAGAATGGTCGCACTGCGCAGCTTTCTGAGTGCCTTTTAAAAGGAGATAGAAAACTCCGCCATTTTGAACCCTTATTACGTGTTGCCTACATCTTGGCGCAATATTTTTAATAGGTGCGTTTTAATCATCCGCTTCTGCTTCGGAATTGTCGGTTTTCTTGTTTTAATCTGACAGGTTAAAACGACTTAACCGACAATTCCGGAAGCAGAAGCGGATGAATAAAACGCACCTGATATTTTGCTTGCTGCTGTCAGTGTCAATGAATATTATTTTTGAAGTCATAGTTTATTGCTAAAGAATCAGTTAGCTCACTCGGACCAGTTGAAAGTTCCAAAATATAACATCCACTTCAGGGATACAAATTCAGGATACGCAGAAGACTGCTGTTTTATTATAGGCGGTTGTCATATATTGTATTATCCGAGTTGCACAGTGTATAAACTGAAACATTGAGATCCAAAGTGCCGACGCAGAGTGAGCGATCTGATTCTTTAGCTGTAAACTGTGTCACAGGGTTCAAAATGGCCGCGCCCTATGTTGGGCGGGTCGGACCTCTCTCTTGCCTCGTATAGTAATCAAAGTGTGTGGGTTCTGTGCATGGTCTCTTTATTTTGTCACCATTTTCAGGACAAGTGGGCTATAAACCTCTCGAAAGAGCCACGATCGAGAGTGTAAACTGCCCTTGGCCGGGGCCCCGTCGATCGGTTCAACGTAGTCGTTCGTCCGACTGGATCGTGTAAATATACATGTGAAAATTGTTCTTCAGTATGTTTGTCACTGTGGAGGATCCTGTTATAGTCTTCTGTATATATTTAGATTTTGATGTATGCATTCGTGCTTTATCCGCACGTTGTCTCCCCGATGTAAGTTAATGATGCTATCCCTCAACTCATCAAGGAGGCATCCCGCGTAGAAATTCTCGGATGTCGATGATATGAAATCCTTAATGTATTGGAAATTTGTCGTCCCGTGCATGTCTAGTATTCTAGTGTAACGCTAGCCTTAAACATTTGTTTTGTGCCCTTTGTAGTTTGTTGAAATGGGTTTGAGACATGGAACACAAAACCGGACAACCATAAGTTAAAATGGATCCAAATATGGTTTTGTATAGTAGAACCTTATTTTCCAGCTTGACTTTACTTCTCCTGTTCATGATAGGGTTACAGGGTCCGTAAAATCACATAATTTTTGTTAATTTGGCCCTTAGTATGATGATGGAACGTTAACCCCCTATCTAGCTAAAATCCTTGGTATTTTATTGAGTTCTTTGCCAGGATCGGCTCATTTTGGATGCTAAGGGGCATGGTTATACCTTGGGTCTACCTCTTAGTCAATACCATCGTTTCTGTTTTATTTGAGTTGATTTTTATTTTTTGCTAGATAGGTAGTCAACGGTCCATTTATATGGTTGTCCAGCTCCCTGGGGGCTATTTTTGCGGATTTATTACTGTTAAACAGGCAGATGTCGTCAAAGTACAACGCCATTTGTATACCATTACCACCCATGAGTAAATCACAGTTTATAATGGTGTACAAATGCGGCGAGAGACCTGAGCCTTAGGGGACTCCCGCCATCGCTAGGAATGGTTCTGTTATTGTTGAATTTATTTTTATACAGAATTGTCTATTAGTCAGATATGTTTGAATTATTTTTAGAATATGCTAGGGAAAGTCATTCACAAGCATTTTGCGTATCAGCCCACGAAAGGTTTTTCACTATCTAATGTGTCTGAAGATCATTGTTAAATCCCTCCTTAGCATGATGTGTGATCCTTCAAATTTGTGCTACAGTGCTATGACCTTCCCTGAAACCGTACTCTTCCCGTGGGATGATTTGTAAGCGTTATTCGATTTTCTTAAGTCTCGTTAGTATTAATTTGGCGGTAAATATCGATTTTATTGCCGGTTTACTTGCCTTCAATATTGGTATAATATTTGCCATCTTCAGGCCACTAGAATAGTGTTGTAGCCTGAAAATGGCATTAATTATATGGTATAGCTGCACGATAGTTTTCTTACTCAGGTTTTTAATAGAATGTTACTGATGTCATCCGGTCCCGAAGCCCTTCTATTTTTGAGACCCTTAATCACCTCACACACCTCTTTAGGGGAGGTAAAAAAGGATTGTAGCACTAATTGTTCTGATTGCTGAAATGTGTTTACTATTTGTTCGATACGGGTTTGTTCCAGGTTATTTTCCTGTTCGTTTATGAATTTTTACTGAAAGTATTCGCCGAAAGTCAAGTCTTTGTCCGTGCTTATAGTAGATCATGTCCGTGTTTCATTGTGGGAAGTGGTGAGTTCGGTTTTTTAAACCTTCTCACTACCTTTCCACAATGTATTGTCGTTTGATTTGAGTTCTAATAGGGTGGTTTGCCATTAATTATTTCGGAAGTCTCTTATCATTTTATTAATGGTTTTTGCTATGTTGTATAACCTTACCCTATCATCACTTTGTCTTTGTTGTTGTCATCTTTTTCTGATGTTGTTTTTATGGTTCATTAGGTGCGTAATCTCTATAGGCAATATGTCGTTATGTTGTTTTTGAGTTTTTAATATAGTTGTCTCGTCTCTAGCTTTTTGTATGATTTTAATAAATTTATTTGTTTCATTTTCTAGGACTTCATTAGTCTGAATATTGTTGTTTATGTTTATGTTTTTCTCTAATTTGTCTGTATAATGCCCAGTTAGTCGTTTTGTAGTCATAGTATTGCCTATATTGTCTTTGTATTTTTTGAGTCGTCCAGATCTCCAAGTACACCGGATCGTGATCTAAGCTTAATGTAGTTATAGTCCTTATATTTCATATGACTGGGATGTTTTTTGCCACTGCTATGTCCAGTATACTTGGGGTGTAATTTGCGGCGTCAGGGAAGTATGTCGGTTCTTCTGTGTAGTATACTATTAGGCCATTGTCTTTGGCGAAATCTCTCAGTAGCAGCCCACTGGGGTTTGTGAACACACAATTAGCGTCTCATTCCGGATGTTTGACGTTAAGGTCCCATGCAAGAAGGACCCTGTTTCCTTTTGACATCAGTATGTGCAAGTCTCTACCTAACACATTTTTACTTGTGGTATGATTATGTGCTTAAGGTTGTTCTTAATTGTTTGAAGTCTCTTTTTATTATGATAGCTACCCCTCCCATTCCTTATCTTTGTTGTCACGAATTTTTACTTTATCTGTGGATTTTAAAAATGACTCTGTTAATATAACCTTGTTTTGATGTCCGTTTTATGAGAATTCGTTTAGCTTGGCCGATATCGTCAATTTCTTTAAAGGTAGCTAAAGCGGATTTCAAGTTATACAGTTTTCGAACCAATCCAACTTGAGAATGCAATTCCCATTATTTTTCTGGTGATTTTATTGTGCTGTGCGATCTGATCAGCTTCTCACATCGTCCGAAAATTCGATCTGTGGCAAGTATGAATATCTTCTTCTTGAAAAAATCCTTTTAATCGATTGTAGAGTTTTTGGAGCCTCCTTGTACAGCCACGTCATAAGTGTGTAAACTATGTGGCCGTTCTTGTTTTGGCTTCCACAGCCATCAGAGAACTACGTCAATTCTTTCACATTTTCTGGCAATACATTCTCTGAGGAACTCATAAAGAGCAGAGCCAACTTCTGTGGCGCCCCTCCCAGCTTGATGTTCTAACCACGAATAGAAGATTTGTTGCTTGCATGGTATGTCTGTGATATATAACACATAAAAGAAGAGCTGTTGGGCATAAAACGCATCTGAAATTGGAACTATAGAAAGAGCTTGTACTTGCTGAAGGTCGAAGTAGAATATCATACCATATTTTTCCTGCATCATGGAATAAAACTGCTTTGCTCGTAACTTGTGTACTCTTAAATTTGTTATAACGTTTTGCTTTTTACGTTGCTCTTTACCTATAGAGAGCTGAGTGAGCTGAGTACAGAATCCATAAACATCCATTGCAGGAATACCGAATCCTATGTTAAATTCATTCGAAAAAATGCGACTGAAAAACTTGTAATTTACTTGATATATTTGCTCAGCGCTACCATTGTATAACTTGTGGAGTATGGTTATATTCTATTCGGAAGGTAAATAAATTCTTTGTAATTTGTTATTCTGTAGTGACTCTCTCGACCCTTTAAATTTGCAATAAATGCCCTTACTTTTTCACGCTTTTCCGTATAATTCTGTCTTTTTGTGAGTCGAATTTCTTTTTGGATTATATTTTCGATTAGTATCATTATCACCGGGGAATGACCTGAGTCTAAGTCAAAGTTTTCTTTTATTTTAATAAAGTTTTTAGGTATTTTTCTAGTGATGTAGAAGTCCAATAAATTGGGTATTTTATTTGTGTCAGTTGGCCAATAGGTTGGTTTTTCTGTTGACTGGTAGTCACACCCAATTTCACTTGCAGATGCAAACAACTCCCTACCTTTGGTGGATATTAATCTCTAGCCCCATATGATATTTTGGGCATTAAAATCACCTCCTAAAAATTTTTTTCTCCCATTTGTCGTGAGAGTTGTCTGTTATTTTCTTTTTTCAAATTATGTCGCGGTGGGATATATACTGCTCCGACTGCGAAACTGCATTTATTTGTTTTTATGTTAACTGCTGTTACCTGTATTTTTTCTGTTTCTATTGTCTTCTCGTCATAATGGTTAATATTTTCTTTTATTATTACGGCGCTTTCATCTCTTGCGTTATCCGACGGATGTATATTACTATAGACTTTGTGGCCTTTAAATTGTATATACCTTTGCTTTGTTAACTGTATTCTGATAAATATATAAATATAGATATATTTCTGATAGGAACACCTGTAGCTCTTCCCGATGGTCAAGGAGTCTATTGGCATTTTACGTTAGATTGGTTGTCTTTACGCTCTTTTAAAGATGTCTAGATGCTTGGGGGAAGGTAGCCTCCTCTAATCTGGTAATTCTGTCTAGAATTGTATTAAGCATGGTCATTATTTGGTTTGTTAAAGATTTTTTTTTCAGTTTGATTAGGTCTGTTATTACTAACCACGTTTGAGTATGTCAAATTTGCCACTCTTGGTTCATTATTAATGATACGTAGTCTGGTTTAGGTATTATTTCTATTGTGGTTAGTTTTTATTACCTATTGTATCTCTTTTTGCGACTTTGCATCCTCTACAGCTTGCTGGATGTGCTTGATTGCATTTTTCGCATTTTGGTGGTATACTTGTCGGCTAATTACACTCTCCTGTAAGATGGCTTTTGCACATTTAACACACACTGGTTGCCTATTACAAAAATGAGTATATCCATACCTTTGACACCGTTTGCATTGGGGTATCTATTTTGGGCTTGTCACTGGCTCAATTTGGATTATTAGGTTTGTAATGTTTTAATTTTATAAAACCTTTTATTGTTTTCACCGTTTTCAAATGTTAATATGAATAACGGCAATGACTTTTTTTATAGCAGTTCTTATAACTTGATTTCCTAATTCTTCTTCTTCTTTAGTTTCTCTTCGTTAGATATTGACCACATCCAAGATTTTAAATCCACTGTGCTTTAACTCTTCAGTTATATCTTCTAGCTTGCAGATAGGGTGTAGGTTTTTAGCCATCCCTTTTATTGGCCTGGATTGTTTCATCTTATATGAATGCCATTAATAGCTTTGGATTGAGAGATCTATTGTCATTTTTCTATATTCTTATTCATATTTTACGTTTAATTTGATTTTATCGTTGTTTAATATGGTAGCTATAAAATGGCATTGCTTACAGATTAGTTTTTGTCTTAACTTTTTAAAGTTTTTGACCTGGGTTAATATTATTGGTGATGGTAATTTTTATTTTGCTTGTTATTTTTGTGCAATACTTTGTTGGCCGTTTTCATTTGGGTGATTTAATTTTGTTTCTTTTTGTACGTTGTATTGTTCATTGGTTGTATTTTGAGGTGACACTTCAGTATTCTCGTATTTTTCATGTTTGCTATTTCTGTTGTATCTTTAGAGTCTGTTTCGTTATGTTGTTTTTGTTCTTTTCCAAAGAATCTGTGACAGACTAGTTATAAAAAACAGAACTACAGAAAATGGTAAAAAGAATAATAATAATAATACTCTCCCTAATTTACCCCCTTACGAGTGAATTTTAACCCCAAAAGCTGAGCTTGTGCGGGAAAAAGGCCGTGCCGCTCCGGGGCGACTTAAAGATGATTGATGGTGCCATTTGACTTACAGGTGAGGAAAACCCGGAAAACCTCACCAAACATCATGAATGAACAAGACCATTGGCAAAAACCTTTTTAAAAAGGTTTACAACCATCAATGAGATTGTGGTCAGTAATCATTTATTTTTCGCAATCGCCCATAGATTCCCATTTAAAATTATTGGTCACAGTGGCCCTGTGACGTCATCTATCACTAGTAGGGACCTTACTAGTAGAGAAGCTTACTATCATCTATTTTTACTCTCCAAATTTCTTTAGTCCAAGTATAATCGTTCAAAATATACAAGGGGGAGGATACTTTTTAAATGTAACTTTTTCCGTATCGTAACATATAAATGGGTGGTGAGCTCTACACGATATTAAATGATTTTGCCTATCGCTTACATTCATTTCCCTTAGATTTTAATTTATCACGTATTATTTTTAGATACCAATTATTAAAGAGGCAAACCGATTAACAAACGATACCTTACACTTGATGGGAGTATCTTGGACGTCACCAAAATGGATGAAAGTCATCCCTGAATATATAGCAATGTTTGGAGAAATTAAAAGAGACATGTTTCAATCTTGGGCAGATTACCATGTAAAATTTTTGGATGCATATGACGATAATAACATTACATTTTGGGGAATAACTACTGGAAATGAACCCAGCATTGGATATACTCCGGTAGTAATACCTATAGTCGCGTTCACTGCACCGTTACTGGTAAATATTATATTTTATGTCAATAATACAAAAGGGATTGATTTCATTGTACTGGAGGAAACTCTTGGCTTAAGCCACTTTTAAAACCCATCTATTGAGCATCTTAGTCTCTGTCCTTATCTTGTTTACTACATTGATGCCCTTTTAAGGTGTTTCTTACTGATAATACCGCGCGCGGAATCATCAGCAGGAGAGGGGAGAGTGTGTGTTAGGTCTCCTTTTTCTCCACATCAAACTCTTTTCTCTCCACACTCCTTTCAGCACAATAGCTCATGAAACTGATTCTTGGTAGTCTTTTAATTTGTTATTTTATCAGATAGTTCCTCCTTTAGGGTACCAGAAATCGGTTCTATTAACTATCACTTATCCTTCTCTCCCCCTTCTAGACCTCGAGTTAACTCCTTACCCCAACTTCCCCGAACATTTTGGATATTAGATCTAGGACTCACTTTCCTATTTTTCATAAAAAAAATTTCTTGGTCTGATGATGACCCATACAGGTCGAAACTAGTCGCCGCTTAAGAAAAATAAAATTCTGTGATAAATGACTTTTGAGTTTTCTTTCCTTAAAAAGGATTACCACATTAGTGAAAACTAATGATTTACTCTACTTATGAATTATTGGTTAAATAAAGGAAATAAGAAAATAATAATAGTACCTATTGATACCTTAACATTAATAAATCGGAACTATTTTCTTCGCATTTCAAGTCGAGGAAAAATTTGTGTTTAAATGTCCAATTTTAAGAGTGGTTGTAGATTAACTAATTTTTTTGTTTTAGTCTCAATGGGTATCTAATAATTTGGGTCCAACAATTCGAAGTTCAAAATATTCCGATATAAAAATTATAACACTAGAAGATGAAAGATTATTTCTACCATGGTTTATTGATAACGTAAGTTATACTGTTTTTATTTATTCATTAAGGTGCAATTCCTTTCCCGTTATTAAAGACCTCATACGCAAATTCTACTTTCGCTTTAAATTACTGTCTCAGTTTGCCGTAAAGATAGTTGACTTTTTGCACACTAAACAAGTTTATAAAACCCGAGTGAACTGTATTCCACACTAAATTTGTTACCTACTACGTATCCATAAGTCGCTGGCTGTAGATTCTTCGATGATCGATAATAGAAAGACACCTATGTTGTAACACTTTTTATTATGAAGTAAAACACAACACTACATTATTGTGATGTCTGTTTATTTTAAACAACAGTTTATTTGTAAATAATTTATTTAAACACTTATTTATTTTATATTAATACTACTCTAATTTATCTATATTTCAAAGTCTCTAAATTGTTCACCATTTATCTTCACAGCGGATTGTATACTAATGACTCCTACGTTGTTCCTCCACCAATATTTATATACAAGTTGGTGGAGTCCAGAATACTCCTCTGCCAACATAGAAACATCTTATATCTGGAATATACTAGAAACATTATCACGTTGACTCAAGAATGTACGCAAAAGCGCCTCCGCTATAGCCGTCACATATATTTGGTATTGTTACACTGGTTTTTGGTATCACAATTTATTTCAACTGAACTTTACAATAACTATAATTCAACTTTGACAATAACTTTACAACTGATAACATTCACGTATAACGTCTATCATAAAACTCCAACCTTGACGTCAGGTCGTCGCCTTATATAGTTTGCCTTTCCTTCTGGAAACTTCTCGAACAATCTAGACTTTTCTTTGACAAAGAATGACATTTCGAGACTTTTCAGGAATATTCTATCTTCTTCATGTAGGTACTCGTACCTTTACTTATGATGACCGCAGCACGATACAGGGTGCTGCGTAACATTGCTCCTTCCTCTCTAGTTATTCGCCCCGAATAACTTGGTTACTGGTACCTGGCTGGAGCCAATGGGGAGGATTTGGACCACGGTATGGCGCTAACTTTTCAATGTGAACTACCTTGGGTTTACTTCCCGCTGACAACTGAACGCGGTAGATCAGGTCGTTGATTTTCTTAAGAACGGTGTAGGGGCCTTCCCAGTTCCGTTGCAGTTTCGGACAAAGTCCTCTTCGGCGCTTGGGATTGTACTCTCTCAAAATGTGTCCCTGTGGCATGCATGTCGATTCTGGCTTTTGCTTTATTGCTATTAACTTTCAAACGTTGCCGAGCGAATTCATATACCTTTTCGAGTCTTTCTCTTAAGTTCTGTATGTACCTGATAGGTCTACGGCCCTCTTCTTCATCAGGAGGCTGCCTTCCAAAAAGAAGATCATGGGGAAGTTTCACCTCCCTTCCAGTAATCATCATGGATGGAGTATAACTGGTCGTTTCATTTTCAGAAATAGAGGAATTAAAGTGTCCCAGTCCTTTTGATTATCAGAGACGAACATTGAAAGATACTGGCATATCGTTCGATTATGTCTTTCTACCATTCCGTCGGACTGTGGGTGGAGAGGCATAGTGCGGGTTTTCCTGATACCTAACAGTTTCATCAATTCTTGCCATAATTCGGATTCAAAATTTCGTCCTTGGTCAGAATGTGATTCCAGGGGGACTCCGTGTCTTGCAATGACGTTCGTCATAAATGCTTCCGCAACTGTCGTCGCTTCCTGATTAGGAATAGGAACTATTTCGGGCCACTTTGAAAAATAGTCCATAACAACCATCAAATATTTGCTTCCTCTTTCTGTTAAGGGAAGTGGTCCGATGATATCTATAGCGATTCGTTTGAAAGGCTCTCCGGAAAGATACTGTGCCATTTTACCTCTACTTCTTGTTGTGGGCCCTTTTCTGCCATTACAGAGGTCACATGCCTTACACCAATCTTCTACATCCCGTCAGCAATTGACCCAATAAAATCTTTCTCGAACTCGTGCAAGTGTCCTTTTAGTACCAAAGTGTCCTCCTGAACGGCTGCTATGAAGCTCCTCCAATACATTTCTGACCTGTGATTTCGGAAGAATCACTTGACGCACTACATGTACTCCATCGGGGCTCTCCCACTACCGGTGCAATAGGCCATCGTGAAGATACAGGGAATCCCACGGGAGTCCAGGATCCTTTAATGGTTCCACTATATTTGGCTATCTCTTGCCATGTAGGTCTGACTCCATTTCTGAGCCATTCTCGGACAACCTTCAAGTCATTATCTTTATTTTGAGTATTTCTTAGGCTTTCAAGGGTGATTTCGTCTTCGCTATCCTCTGGCTTGATAGTGGTCGCCTGTAGACTAACTTCTTCAACCAGCTCCTCTCGTTCTTCAAGCCTTTTACACTACCGGTCGGCATTGTCGTTCTAAACAGGGTCGCCTGGAGAGAATATCTGCGTTGCTATGGAGACGTCCCCTTCGATGCACTATATTGTTGCAATCAAAAAATTGCGTAACGACCGTAACGAAAAAAAATTTAAAACCCCCCACTCCGACCGGCACAGCGGTGCGGCGTTATTCAATAAAAGAAAATCGAAAAATCGATAAATCGATAAATCGATAAATCGAAAAATCGAAAAATCGAAAAATCGAAAAATCGAAAAATCGAAAAATCGAAAAATCGAAAAATCGAAAAATCGAAAAATCGAAAAATCGAAAAATCGAAAAATCGAAAAATCGAAAAATCGAAAAATCGAAAAATCGAAAAATCGAAAAATCGAAAAATCGAAAAATCGAAAAATCGAAAAATCGAAAAATCGAAAAATCGAAAAATCGAAAAAATCGAAAAATCGAAAAATCGAAAAATCGAAAAATCGAAAAATCGAAAAATCGAAAAATCGAAAAATCGAAAAATCGAAAAATCGAAAATCGAAAAATCGAAAAATCGAAAAATCGAAAAATCGAAAAATCGAAAAATCGAAAAATCGAAAAATCGAAAAATCGAAAAATCGAAAAATCGAAAAATCGAAAAATCGAAAAATCGAAAAATCGAAAAATCGAAAAATCGAAAAATCGAAAAATCGAAAATTCGAAAAATCGAAAAATCGAAAAATCGAAAAATCGAAAAATCGAAAAATCGAAAAATCGAAAAATCGAAAAATCGAAAAATCGAAAAATCGAAAAATCGAAAAATCGAAAAATCGAAAATCGAAAAATCAAAAAATCGAAAAATCGAAAAATCGAAAAATCGAAAAATCGAAAAATCGAAAAATCGAAAAATCGAAAAATCGAAAAATCGAAAAATCGAAAAATCGAAAAATCGAAAAATCGAAAAATCGAAAAATCGAAAAATCGAAAAATCGAAAAATCGAAAAATCGAAAAATCGAAAAATCGAAAAATCGAAAAATCGAAAAATCGAAAAATCAAAAAATCAAAAAATCGAAAAATCGAAAATCGAAAAATCGAAAAATCAAAAAATCGAAACATTGAAAAATCCAAAAATCCAAAAATCGAAAAATCCAAAAATCCGGAAATCCAAAAATCCTAAAATCCTAAAATCCAAAAACCCAAAAACCAAAAACCAAAAACCAAAAATCCAGAAATCCAAAAATCCAAAAATTGAAAAATCGAAAAATCCAAAAATCCAAAAATCGAAACAAAATTTCCGTAACGAAATACCCTTAACTCCGACCGGCTCAGCGGTACGGCGTTGAAAGCCATGCATCGTCTAACGTCGTTACAGTTCGGCAGACTTCGGCACGGTGTTTTTGTGCGTGCGACTAGACGTATGCGTGTAGACTAGCTGCTAGCTGATTCTATCTCTTTTAGGCACAATTTCGGAAAAATTGAATTTGAAAATGAAAAATGATCCACAAGAATCCACAACAAAATATGGGACCACCATTTTCGCGGTATTTTCCAGATATTTAGAGGATATCAAGTCTTAAACTTACTTATTTCAGTTACCATAAACCTATAGTTTCAATGATAAAAATTCCTGAATTTACATGTATTGTAAGATAATAAAAATATTTTAAACAATATTTATTTAATAAAAGAAAAAAAATTGTTTTCTTATCGGTCACCACGCTCAAAAAGTGTAACTTGAATTAATGTCAAAGAAAAAACTTTAATTAATATCAAAGAAAAAAAAATACTGCATAAATAAAATAAATAAATAATTATAATTTGATTAAAAATGCTATGCAATAGCTTTACCGCGGCAGTCCCCGAGTGCTACAAGTATTTTGTTTTGATCTTTATGGATATACAAATTAAAAAATATATCATGTAAGTTTTTTTTTATATATTTTTAGATGTTTGAAAATAAAGGAACAGAAGATTATATAGATGGTATCGCTGTGCACTGGTATTTTGATAAGATATCACCACCTTCAGTATTGGATGACACACATAATAAATATCCAGACAAATTTTTAATAATGACAGAAGCTTGTAGAGGTGAGTAATTTACAATATTGAGTCTAAACTAAAAAAAAATTAAATATTTAGTAATCGCATTTTAGCTCAAGAGCCCACTGCAAATTTTGGCCGTCATCTAACAACGAAATGAAATATGCCCCGAAGGCATGTAAAAACATTGTACTTTACCTAACGGCACCTATGAAAATTACTATTCTGAGCAAAGTGGTTAAAACATACAAATGAAAATTTAATTCAATACAACGATTGTATATTGGTATATTCGGAAGTTTTCATGGGAATAACATAATCAAACATTTCTTGAGTATATCGTTAAAGGGAAACACTTTCTTACACTTACCATTGCACAAAAAACATCTATCAATGAATATTAAAAATCATTAACAACATGAATCAATTATTGTTGATTTGAAGATTTATTTGTACTAGTTTTCGCCTAGTGGTCGAAATTTGACCATTATCATTATTGAAAATTTAAGGAATACATGCATATGCATTTTTATATTTTTTTTTATTCTTATACATTCGTTCATTGTATATCTATTTTAATTTAATTCAGCAATCCCATTTTATGTGAGAGCAATTCTTCTTTGCATTGACCATTCAACGTCAGGAGTCTGTAAGATACCATCCTAGCCTTTTTTCTAGCTAAATAAAAGAGTGATCCAGCATGCTTTACATAGCTCCCGTCGGTGTGGTGGACATTGCCCAGTGATGGCGACGTACACAAGCCCCTGCATTCCAGACAACTTTGCTCTGGTTGTCTGTTTAAGTCCCTGGTTCCCACCAGATAATCAAATTGTACGTAAACCACAAATCCATTGTATTAGTTTGGGGATAATACCCATGGTTTACCGCATATCCTTCTATTGGTCTAGTGGGACAGTCTGGATTTTTTGATGGTTTGGTCCAGGTGTGTTTTCCAGCCAAGGCAGGTTGTCCAAGCTTGAGTTTTTCTTTTCTTGGTAAAAGGAACGATAACAATTTTCCCGGGGTTAACGACAATCTGCTCCCTCTCGTACCATCTCTTCATTGTATCGTATTTAGGGCTTGTTAAAGATTGTTGATTATCTCTTCATGTTTCCCCCAATTATATTAACCAAATCGTCTGTAATTAGAGATAAAGTTAAAAATAATAGAAGTTGACGAACCTAAAATAATGCTTAATATTAATTATAAAATTAATTATAATTTAAAGTTGGCATTTACATAGAATAAACTATAATACATATTATGTAAAATGTAAAACGTAAATGTAGTTTTTCCATATAGTGCCTCATCTGAATGCAAAAAGTGGCACGTCGTAGTTTTTACTTGCTATTTGTAGTTGGGTACAGGATAGGAAAGCGGACAACATTCCCCGGTTGTGGAAGCTGTCGTGTGATGTAAGCTGTTGCTTATTGATGGATTTTTTGTTTTTTGTTGGCAATGAAATGCAATATATGTTCCTAGACGTCTATAACAATAAAAAAATCGCTTCGCAGTTTATGTTATCCTGTTTTGCTACTTTCAGTATAGGGATTTCGGCCACGTGACCAGAATTACGTCTCCCTATAGACTGTCTCATATGCCAAAAATTTTATCGGAAATAAAACCCTCTGAAATTTTCTGTAATCATTATCAACTTACAATTATTAATTATATAATATTAATTTTAGGACAAATACCATTTGAGAAAAAAGTAGATCTAGGTTCTTGGGATAGAGCAGAAGATATTGCTGGTGGGGTGATAGAGAATTTTAAACATTGGGTAACTGGTTGGGTGGATTGGAACATGGCATTAAATGAAGGAGGTGGACCTAGTTACGTTTCAAACTACGTTGACTCTCCAATAATTGTCAATTCAAGTTCTCAGGAATTTTATAAGCAGCCCATGTTCTACGCATTGGGCCATTTCTCCAAGTTTATTCCGCGTGGGTCGATACGGATTGATGTTTCTCAATTTTCTTCGGACACTCAAACAATAGCATTCAAAAGACCTGATGGTGGAGTTGCGATAATTATTTTAAATAAGTAAGTAAATATAATATATAGAACATTATTTTTAACCCATTAACGCCGGGGTTTCTAAATTTTTGAAATTTACCTTTATATTACAATATTATTTGTCTAGATGATCTACCTAATAAAAAAGTATAAGAAAAAATTGTCGTACTCTAACCGTTTACCAGATATTGTACTGTTGCCATATGGCAACGCTAGGCGCTTGCACTACCTAGTTTTGTCGGGTATATAATATTTAATTTATATTGCATATTATGACCAATCCAGTCGAGTCGCTTTAAAAAGACAAAATAAAAACTACAATGGGTAATTTACAGATTTACTAATAATAATATTAGAACAAATTGAAATTTGTGACTACATAAAAGCAATTATTTCAAGCATGTTACCGAGTGTGAAACGATATGAAAGAATCTATGCACAAGCCAACATTGCATTTTAAGCATATTGTTCTCACAATTGGTGTACATGTATTGCGAGCACATCTTCTTTTCTTTTTTATCTTCGGTGTGGTGCACCAAATGATCAATTCTGTCAAATCGAATATCGTTGGATATTCGACTGTCGGCCACTGATGATGGTGAGGTTGATGGTCTTTCAGTTCTTCTTGACTGCACACACATACCATATTTCGATAAATATGTATTGGCTACTTCTCTTTTAAAATCTAATTGGGATGTTTTGTTCTTCTTAGATTTATTATACAACACCCAACTGTTTTGGAGGGCAACATCAAGCGACCACGTGAAAATAGGCCAGTACCATTTTTTCCACGTATGCCAATTCGGTAACAGGCCACATTTTGATCCATATGATCAGTTCCACCCATAAATGAGTTGTACTTTGCTATTAATTTTGGCCTTCGAATTTGTACATTGCGCTTGTGTTTTTGTAAAAATCTTTTGACTTGACGCACAGGTTGGGTGCCGCATGAAGAAGAAATTATCGTCATTACTGCGTTATCCATCCATCTAGCATACAATAGTCCATCTTGTCTTTTAATTGCTGTTTCAATATGACCACGTTCCTTTTTTTGAAATAAACTTACCCGCCTCGATCCTCTTCTTCGGAATCATCGTCCGTCTCTACTTTGGGATCTGGAGGCTCAACAAATATATCACCGTCAATGTTTTCATCATATATACCATCTCAATAATATTTTATTAATATTGTTGTGGCATCTCTGGACTGGAAATTTCGGGTGTTCATTTATAATAAAATATTCTGGAGATTTGTTGTGGATAACGGTGTTTTATTTTATGTTTTCTCTTTCTATTGCTAATTAGGTATTAAGCCTCACTTTACAGTACAGTGTAATTAGGGCTTTAGATTTGTTTTGCGGTATTTCGGGTACGGAACCTTAATAGATCAAGGAGCTTTCTAGTTCGAGTTGTGGTCGAGCTGGTGGCGCCTTATAAATATTTTCAGGACTCACCCCAAGCTGGGTATCCTTTTTTTTGCTCGTGCACTCCCTTCCGTAGCTCGTTTTAGCACGTGGCAAACGTGTATTCTTTCTATGACACCATAATCAGATCCATTTTTTTTCTAATTTTAATTGGTGGTACATATTTCTAATACCTTTTTGGGTTGAGGGTGATATCCACATACCAAATAGCAGGCCTCGAATTTCTGTATTGGGCCGTGACGTCATCGTGCAGTCTTCCGTCCGACGATAGTTGATAGCTAGTCGTCGGTGTGATTTGACTATTCAGTGGGGTCTCAATTGTTAAGAAGGATGTATGTCGAGTTTTGCATGTTTTCTGGTTTGGAATGTCCGTAATGAGTGCTTTCTCTGGACATTCATGCCCCTGTTCACACCAATTGCCCGGATAATCATAGTATACTAGGAGAATCCGCGAAAAAGCGCTTCTACAGTCGCATAAACATCCAAAGAAGCAATGTATTTAAATAAGTGTTGTGCATCATTCATCCATTTATGTCCCTGCTCACACCGGTTTCCCAGAGAATCAACGATAATCTTAGAAATGGTGCTTCTGCAGCATGTTATAATGCCCTGAAAAGTCAGTAGCTTAATGTAGTGTTATTGAATGTTAGTTTTTGATGTTGAAGTTTACGTCTACGTTAGCCATAAATGAATTGTACGTCTCTATTATTTCTTGTCCCGTATTACAGTGTATTAATTTGTCGTTTTGTGCTCTGATCGCTCTATTTAGCTCACCCAAATTGATTAATCTGTCAAGGTACGCTAGTTCTTAATTTAAGGCCAAGATGTCATCCATGGCTGATCCGGTGTTTACTTGTCCTGTTCTTTGTTCTGTTTTCCTTGTGTTCTGGGTGCTTTCTCTTACGTTTCTGGTCAGCAATGCTGGAAAATCTATTATTCTCGCATTGGTCGTATTTGTGTGTATATTCTGATTTATGGCCTCCCATTGGTTAAAGGCAGGTATTGGGGCGGGGACTAGTTTCTGAAGTACTTTCGGTCGCCTTTCATCCAGTCTCCCTAAATCTGGCAAAATAACTTTCACATTTTGTGTGGTTCGCGGGGTGGTCTCCCCCGCAATTAGCACAAGTCGCTGGAGTTTCGCGAGTTTTTAGGCAGGTTTTTGTATGATGCTCTCCTGCGCATTTTAAACATTTTGCTGGCCTGCAACAGTTGGACGTGGCGTGTCTTCACTGTTGGCAGTTATGACACTGAATAATTAATTTGACTGATTTGCGTAACTCGCATGTGACTCTAGTGTACAGCACACGTCTTACATTTTTGTTTAAATAATCCAGTGTCATAACTGAATCTGTGACAATTAGATATAGCGGTCTTTCTTTAGTTTTCATGGGAAATATGCCTCTGGCCACAATTTCATGTTCCTCTTCCAAATTTTCTCTAATATGCTCGATTTTTTTATCCTCAGCAAGGCCCCTTAACACGATGGCGTGAGATTTGTCCTCCCTTGCTGTGTAAGTATGAAATGGCATTTTCTCACTCTTGAGATTATTTAAGACCTTTTTGGACATTCATTGTACTTCTAAATGGGTGTATCCATTGAAATAACGGAAATGGATATCCAATGGGCATCCATATAACGTTCATAAACATCCAGGACATTATTTGGAAAAAATATGGACGTCCAATGGACATCGTGTGCTGTCTAGGTTAATATTAATTAAAAATATACTGAGGTGGACACATTTATCATTATTTTTAAAAATAAAAAAATAGCCTGTTCTAAATATGAAATGTGGATTCAATATATCCACTATAATGGATATGGTCTACTCGTCGTGCGATATGGACACTATTACATTCCTGTTACACAAACTACTATTATATCATCTTAAAAAAATGTTTTTCTACACCCACATAGATATTAGCTTATCTACGCACAGATAACAAACCGATAAAGTAGGATATTGCCTTCAACTGAACGAATATATTTCATATCCATTCTAGATAGTGAAAACACTGCAAAAAAATGAAATATACCAATCACCGTTCATATTTTGATCAACCGACTGCTATTATTTTTAAAATTTTAAATAAGTGACAATTCTGTCAAACTAGTTGTCAGTGTATTTTTTAGTTATTAAGATTAAGCATATATTGAAAGGGGTTATTTATGTATAGAATCGATAAATAATAGCATTTCTGTTTTTATTTCGTCTTTAATTTTAAATAATTTGTTAATTTAAATAAAACTGTATAAAGTCAATTTATTTACGAGTATTAATGCAACAAAAATAAAAGAATAGGTGGTCCTGTGGTTAGCGTTTTTGTTTTCCACACTGAAGACTCGAGTTCGATTCTCGGATGGGGAAAAATGAAATAACCTTTTTTTCTTCGTTTATTTTATTTAAAAATTATTAAAAGTCATAAATTATTTTAGAATTAGTTGATTTGTCGTAATAACCTAACATATTTTTTTTATTTGTAAATTTTCGTTAGTGGGTAGTAGAAAAAATATTCTGTACAACTACAGTAGATTGTCCACATCGCAATCAGAGGATTGAGCACTTCACCTACGGCGTCGTGATCAAATTTCGTATTCGTGCGATATGGCCATCATATCCACTCTTGGTCCACAAACTACTATTTTTTGGCACTTTTAACACTTTGACTGCCATGTGTATATCTGAGTATACACAGTGGCCTATCCCAGGGTGCCAAGTGTATATTTTTGTATACACATGTATTCACCAATTTTGTGCCGTGTGTATCCTAGAGCTACACGTTTTGCGTGTATTTCTTATGGGATATCGTTTGGCGTGGCGTAGGGCAATAGCAAAATATTCTTAGCGTCGACTTTTTAAAAAATTTGATTTTTTTATGATAATTATTTAGGTGCTATTTTATTGTAATTAAATGAAAAAGATTTGTTGGATTGCACATAAAAACTTTATTTATCTAAATGTAAAAAAATGTCATAAACAGATATTCAAAACCAACATTTGAACACAAAAAAAACAAAACGGCAGTTGAAAAATCAAGAAAATAAAACAATACGAACAAAAAATACATTATTATCTAGTTTGTTTTAGGCAAAACATTGTGCTTGTCAAAATAACAGTCAAAGCAGAGAAAATTTTCAATGCAAGCTTGGCATTTAGTATTAACTTGTTTAGTTTTGCAAATGGCATATTTCCGGTCATAAGTGTCTTTATTTCGTTTGTAGCACATAACACATCAGCTTTTCTTTTCAAAGTGGATAAATTTATGTACTTAATCAGGTGTACGATCAGGAGCAATATTTTTATTCCCCATAGACAACAGTTTCAAGCACAAATTCTCTTTGAATTCGATAATACTGCCTTTTTTAGTTTCTTTTTTTTTTTGTACAAATAATGCGCGTTTACTACACTTGCACCTGTAATTAATTCAAAGGCCACCTTTTTATACCACTTGATGCTACGTCTTACAGAGGTTGAATAAGATGATAATTGATCTGAAACATCAATAAAACTTTTTGCTTTATTTTAGTCAATCACGGCTTCAGGTTTTGTTTTCCCTTCGACTATTCCAGGAACTTCTACCAGATTTGCTTGATATTTGGTGGTAAG